CTATCTTTAGGAGCTTACACACTTGTGCAAATGTGAGAACTGCATGCAGTATCTAATACCCATGTAGAAAAAGTTGAAAGGTTAATGTCTATAACATAACTACCTGAAGGAGTAGCCCTATTGTTCTTCTTCTTTTTTAGATCTTTCAGGTAGAGCTTGCAGTTCCTCTTTTAATGACCAGATTCATTGCAAAAGAAACAAATTCCTTCCTTTGGAGGCTTTGCCTTCTTGGCTGGGGGCTTAGTTTTAGGCTTGTTTGACTCTTTGGTCTTACCATCTAAGCCTTTGCCCTTACCCTTGCCTTTCCTTCTCATACCCTTTCCTTTCTAAACCATCAAAACAGTGCTAGGCTTTTTCTTAATATTTTGCTTAGCAATTTTAAGTACCCCATGCAGTTTAGAAATGGATTTCTTTATGTCATTCATCTTATAGTTCATAACAAACTGGTCATAACTTTTTTGGGAGTGAGTTTAAGATCAAATCTATAGCTAACTCCTGGCTTAGAAGAAATTCGAGCCTCTTAAGGTGATCAATATAGCTCTTTATCTTTAAAACGTGAGTGCTAACCGATGTACCCTCAGCCATCTTATAAGAGTGTAAGGCCTTTGTGATCTCATGCCTCTCTTGTCTTACCTGTTGCTGGAACATTTCCTAAAGATGTAATCATCTTATAAGCCTCCATGTGTTCCAAATCTCTCTGAAGTTCTGGAACCATGGTAGCTAACATTAGACATCCTACATCGACTAAGTCATTAGTGCGCTTTGCATAAGCATCCCTTTGAGATATTGGAGTGTTGGCCACAGGCTCCTCAGGAATAGGTTCATCCAGGATAAATGACTTTCTTTCCTGCTTGAAAAGAATTCTCAAGTTCCTGAACCGGTCAAGAAAGTTCATCCCATTGAGTTTGTCCTTCTCAAGAACCGATCACAATGATAGTGTAGCGCAGTGTTACTAGTTGACGTGATTCTATAATAATAAAATACACTAAGTTAATTTTATATCTCCCACTAAAACTACAAATCCTTAAAATTGATTAGTGAACTAAGACCCATATTTTACTTAAATCTGTAGGCCATTTTAAAAATTATAACCCTTGTAAAATTAGAGCCATATATGTCACCATACTCAAATAACTTCAAGGCAAACAAAGCATAGCAGATAAAAAAATTCATATAATATGAAAAGTTATAAATTGTGAATTAAGTTGCGCTACGAATAGTTAGCCATAGTGGTCGTGCTATGAATTAGGTTGCATTATGAACAAATTACGAATTAGGTTGTTTGTGGTCCATTTGAATTGGTCCAAGTGGTTCTAAGGCTATTGACACTAGGTTATAGGTTTTGGACACTCGTGTGTGTTTTGAGTTAAAAACAGACCAGTTGGGGTTCTAGTGTTTAACTTTTAAGCAGTGGAGTGCATAGGTGTGAGACCAGTTCCAATAGTTAGAGGGCTCGATGACTGACGTGTAGACACTTGAATCTCTCAAACTGGATATCAGATGGCAAAATGGCACACTCTGAAAGCTAGTCTCAGAGTGCTGTCATGGTAATGTTTACTATCATGGCAGCAGGGGTGCATCGCAATGCACTACACTGAGAAGGACGTGGTTCCTTTATGCCACCTATCATGGCAAGTAATTCTTAAACTATTGTAGATGGTGCATTTCTTGAAATATTTCTAGAATACTTGTTTGATATTTTTAATGATTGTAATTAATTTCTTTGATTCTGCTACATTGTATAACTTGTTTTAACTAATGATTTGAGCTCAAACATTCTTTCAAAAAGGGCTTTCTTGAAATTTCAATATTTAAACTAATTATTTTCTAAATCCTTGTGTTGTGATAACCTTAGATAGGGAATTTAATTAATCTTAGTTATCATAACAATGTTGTTAAAGTGTTATTCTAGTAACATTAGGGTGGACATTATACTTTCCCCCTCCCCTTCCCCTTCCTTCCTCTTCTGTGGTTCATCAAACCTGGTATACTTTTACACTTTGTTTTTTTTTTTAACTTATATATGTGTGTGTTTATATATATATGAGTATCTATAATTTTTATGTAAATTATTATTTTCTAAATATTAGTTTAAGTTTAATTTAATTAGAATATTTTGTTGAAAGTTTTCATTTTTTGGTTAAGTTATTGTAGAATAATTTAATTAATTACTTTTAATTAGTTATTATATAATTGCTTAATGAGGATTGTTGTTAATGGTCGCCTAAGACCTGTATTGTTGCATGTGATCAAATTGTTGCTGTTGTTAACATTATTTGGTGTAAAATTGTGTAATTTTACTTGTAAGATTTTGTAGAGGTCCAATTTTTAAGAGAGACTCAACCAAAATTTTCTCAATTTCATTCTTTCCACTAAATTACTTCAAATTTAGTTGTTATTGACATTGGTTATTGTTGGAAGGGTTGTTAATGGCTTCATAAAGCCTTAAACTATCATATGTGATCATTTATTTGATATAAAATTATGACTTTTCTCTTGTAAAATTTTTTACAAGGCCTTGAAAGGTCTAATTTTTAAGGAAGTTTTTGCCAAAATTTTTCAACTTTATTATTTTTCCTAAATTGCTTAAAATATTAGATGAATTAGGAATTTAGATTTTTGAAATAATTTTAAAGATAGTAACCCACTAATTCTATTCTTTTTTAGATAGCAATATGAGGATTGTAGTTAGATAAATGCTAGATAAACAAGTGATGAGTATGATAATGGGGTGAAGGAATTTTTTGAATTTGCTAAGAAAAACACTCTTGACAGTAATAGGAGGTTTTATTGCTCTTGTGTAAACTACTTGAATAAGAGGAGACTAGTTATTGTTGAAATAAGAGAGCACTTGATTTATGATAGCATTTGCAAGAATTATATGGTATGAATTTGGCATGATGAACAATTGAAAAATCCTAGCATGTCTCAATATGTAAAAGTTGATAATATTGATGATAAAATAGATATGGATGAAGATCGATTAAAAGACATGATCCATGATGTTGTTGATAAAACTACTAAAATCAGAAAACACATGTGTATGATAACTTGTACACTAACATGGAGAAGCCTCTATACCCCAGGTGCACCAATTTCAATGTTATCTAGGGTGCTAAAACTAGTTACCTTGAAGGTAAGAAGTGGGTAAAGTGACAAGAATTTTACATGATTGTTAGAGTTTCTCCAAGAAATGTTTCCAAAAGCAAACGTACTACCAAATTGTTTATATGATGCCAATAAGATTTTGTGCCCGATGGATATAAAATATAAAAAGATATACGCATGTCTTAATGATTTGTGTTGTATAGAAAAGAGCTTAAAGAAGAGGAAAAATGTATGAAACGTAAGGCACCATAGTACAAAGGAATCATCTCTTATTTCACATGAAAAATCACCTCCCTAAAATTAAAAGTAGGGATATTCACAAGATGAAATATCCCTATCTCGTGTTTCATTTCAAAAAATGAACGAAATTAAATTTTTGTATTGTGTCCCTTATGTCCCTAAATTTGTCCCATTCCATTTGGGGTTGAGACAGGATTAGGATGTCTTGGTTAAATAGACCAAATATGCAAGAAATCTTAAATAACAACATTTATTAAACTATATATAATTTGTTGAGTCTAAAACCAAAACAACACAAGTATATAAATTTAATTATTAAGTTACATAGTTTAAATAAATTAGTCAAGTACAGCATCAAGTTAACGGTTGTTTGTCCTGCATTGGGATATTTGAATATATTACATGTTAATAAAAAATATGTTTATATTATTAACAAAGAATATATATTGAATAAATAAACTATTACATATTAATAAAATAAAAATAATACGTATACTATTTTTAGGACGGGACATCCTCGAGGTATTTGAGAGTCTCAACTTGAACATGTTTTTATCCTGTCCGGCAAAATTCAGTCCTATTTTTTTTTAGGAAAAATAATCTTGAGTCTTGTCTCGAACCATGTTTATCTTATCCCTTAAATTTCTATTCAGTTTTTTCTCGGGACACCCAAAGTAGTTCCGACTCCTGCCCAAACTTATTTTTACCACGTTCTACATAGTCTCATTTTTTTTTTCTTTTTTCAGGCCGGATAAACTGGTCCTGACACACAACAACTAAAAAGGCATGAACACCCCTCCTCGAAAGAACTTACGTGATTTGGGAGACCCGGGGAAAAAAAAGAAAAGAAAAGTGACAGGTCCAACGTCCAACCTTTCACGTAATGGGAGTCAATCCTTCTTTCAAGGTAATACCATGAGATTTTTTTCTGACAAAAATTAATTTGCTTTATCATGTGATAAATCTTCTTTGTCATCCATGCTCAAAGTCGACCTTATTGTCGACAGTCTGAGAGGGAACGTCTTTTAAGTTCTAACCTCTGGTCAATTCAAAACAGATATTAATGAACACCCTTTCCCCCTCGCTTTAGCATCTCTTTGGCATATACGGATATCTATCACTGAGGTAGGGAACTAGCCACAAACGCGAAACAACAACAAAGCTGTCGTGAACCAAAAGAAAACTATGTCGAGTAGATTGAGATCTGGCATAAAGTAGGGTGAGTGGCTCAATGCTCTAGAGTAGTTAAGATATAAATTAAAAGCAGCAGATGGCAAAAAGAAGCAAAGGGTTAAAAGATTACTCTACATTGCAAAGTTGACACTTTATATTAACGCAATCCGTGCATGCATGACTTAATTACCCGATAAAGAGCCATTTAAGAACCTTTAGCTGTCACTATTCACTGATAGAGGAAACTAAATTTGAAACTACTAATGCTATATATGTTTAGCTGGAGGGGAGAGAGGGGAAGGGGGATGAATCCCTCCCAATCCCCCCAATTTCGAGGAGAGGTTTGGGAGATTATTCCCTCCCCTCCCTTTTGCCAAACAAGGGGTAAAAGTCTAGGCTCAGCTGCCCGGGGGCCTATTAAAGAATAGAGAATATATTAATTAGGTTCATAAACATCTAATATGGGGATAGCCATTAACTGTAATTAATTAAGGAAAATCCCAAAAGTTTATTCATATATTGATTCTGATAATGGGTACATAATTCCAGGGATTAGATAATTTAGTAACCAATGAACTCTCAGAAACCTCTAATGTATTTATTTTAGAGACAAAGGAAGAAGACATGAGAAGTTCAAATTCCTGGAGGAGTAATTAAGCCAGAATATGATCCAATGGTTTGCTCTGAAAGTCGATGGTTTCGAGCTGGGGATCAGGCCCTTTGGACAGCTTCTTAAGACGAGCCAACTCGAGGTCCTTGGCCATTTTTCTCCTGTACATCTCACCGAAGGTGATTGGTTCCTCAAGCACAGATTCTTGTCCCTCTCTCAGCTTCAGTGGGTATACTATTGCTTCTGGTGATGGATTTTGGAATGTTGCTATGGACAATCTGCTGCACCTCGAGTTCACCACTGCTTGGTGATCCGCACTCTTGAACCTTCCATTGCTCAGGTACTGTGCAAAAGACATAAATTGTTCGGATCAATTACTGAAATTAACCAGGATTAGCTTCTTCATTTTCAAATTTCATATACCGCCGTCTTTCGAGTTTTCTAAAATTATGAAGACTTTCTATATATGTATTTTTAAAGAAGATTACTATATAATCTAGAAAATATAATTGTGTGATTTGAGTAAAATTCAATAATTTCTTGTACATAATATATTTCTTATTACTTATTTCTCGAGAGTAGGGACAGTAGCATAGGATGGTTCAAAAAAAATAAACGTGATGATATTTATGAAATTTTTATCAAAATTAAATAAAGTTTGCATTTATTTTAAAATAAATGAAATATCTGTATATTTTAACAAACTCTAAAAATAATTTCTATGATTCACGCAAACAAGTTGATTTTTTATATTTTCAATTTTTTTTACGCAGGTTTTTATAAAATTGACGTAGAAAATGTTATGGCTATTTTCTTCTAAATCCTTACAACTTTTTACGTCGTCAGTTTGAAGTAATGAAAACGAGTTAAGAAAATTGAGTTCTTATTGCATGGATTTAAAATTGACGTAGAATCTTCCAAGAATTACGTCAGTGGCATTTTTTTTTTTACCCTTTTAAACGAATATAATTTTTTTGCCAACACAAAAATTATATCATTTAGTGAAAATTTCATTAAAATAAAACCCCACGGCAGAACTTAATTAATTACAAAAAAACTAAAAGAATATGAAATTATTCTGCATATCACAAGCAACCTCTCAAAATCAGAATTTCATCCTTTCATGAGAGGGGGATTTTTTAAAAAGAAGAAAAAAAGCTAAAAGATATTTTCATCATTCCACGTGCAAAGCTATTTGCATTTCAATCTCATGGTTATATTTCATTCCACGTGTAATTTCAGATCATATAACAAAATTTAAATATAAAAAATTTTAGGAAATTACACAATATTTTAAAGTCTAATGTCTTTGATTGAAATTGTGAATTACTGTGGGACGGTTCTTAGTTATAATATATTAGTTAGTAGTTGAGCTACTTCATTAACAACTATTCATTAATAATTGACAGTTTAATATAACAAATTAACAACTTAGAAAAAAAAGATATGATATTTCACAAGAATTTCGTGATTTCAAGAGACTTTTCAATGTTTAAATATGTATGCGCATGAATTATGTAATATATCATATATATTATATACATGTATTCATCTTTAATATAAAATATCTTTTAAAAACTTTGATTGATTTATCATATAAGACATTTTTATAAAACTTGATGAATCATTAATAAGTCATTTCTTTGATTTTTTTTTTTTAGGTAAAAACTAAAGCTTCATTTCAATAAAGGAGCTAACAGATATAATATAACCAAATGAAGAAACAAATAGACAAAACAGAAAAACTATAAAGACAAAACACTTCTTTCATCATAAAGACAAGGAAAGATGTAATATGATCAAAGATTCAAAATCATTCACTAAAGTATGACCGAACCTAGCTAATCTATTAACAAAAATATTAGAAAGTGGGATTAGTTTCTATATTCATCACAGCGATGGGCACCATTCTATGCTCATCACAGTGATATGCATCATGGTGCCCATCACTGTGATAAAATCTAGATTATTTAATTTTAATTTGAATGGTCTAAATTTAAAATATTATTATATATTTTTATTTTATATTTATTATAATAAAAATTATAAAATAATTTTAATAATTTTTTTATTTTTAATATAATCTAAATTTAATTTAAAAGGTTCAATTTAATATTAAAAATTTTATAATTGATGTCTATTGATTATCTAGATATATTCTGCATAATTCAAATTAACACTAGATTAGATCTGAACTATACAGATTGCATTTGAATAGTCAAATATACATTAATTATAAAACTTTAAATATTAAATTGGACCCTTCAAATTAAATTTATATCATATTAAAAATAAAAAATTTATTAAAATTATTTCATAATTTTTATAAATTTTTATTTTAATAAATATAAAATATAATAGTATTTTAAATTTGAATTATTCAAATTAATATTTGATGGTCCAAATTTTAGTGTAGTTAGCACCATGGTGCTTATCATTGTGCTAAGCACTGAAACCAATTCCTTAAAAAGCTTACAGTAGTTTGAATGAAGTCTTTAAAAAAATTATTCCAATTTTGAGGTCCGGTTAGTAGGTTAATGGCTTTCGTATAGTCACGGTACATCTCTAGATTTCTTAAAAAACCATTGAACCAGCACATCTTTAAGCCTTTGAGGATTCCTAGTATTTCCCCAATAACCAGCGAATTTGATAAGGCATTTCTAAAAATGTTCGCATGTCTAATTGGTTCACCAGTTGGTTTATTCAGATAACTTATTTGACTTTAAGATTTAAAGATAAAATTAGTAGTTTTAATTAAAGAGAATTTGAGATTTTATAGTTTTTTTTTGGTTGAAAAAATCAAGAGTTTTAGCTAATTTTAATTATGTTTTCTAAATAGCGTAATTTGACTAGGAGTGCCTTGTAAATAGGAGGGAAGGAGCACATTTCTGCTGGCGCAGACAAAAGAAAAGAGATTGATTTTTGTAAGATGGTGGTACTCACATGGGCATGATCGCCGAGGTTGACGACGAAGGCTCCGGGGACAGGCTTAACTGTGATCCAGGTGTTGCCATTATCCCTGGTAGCCTGAAGGCCACCGACGAGGTCTTGAAGCAAGAGGGTGATGGTGCCTGCATCGGTGTGGCGTTTGAGTCCTAGCGTGAGATCAGGCTGGGGGCATTTTGGGTAGAAATTGACCACTAGCTTCTGGTCCATTTCCACGCATGCTTTTGTCAGAGCCTCCTTCTCTAATCCCATTGCTTCTGATAACACCTCCAGCAGCTTGCTTGCCAGGCCCATCAACTTCTCACTGTATTCTTCTGTCACCCTCCCCCATCCTTCTGGCCACCTCGAATAGTCTCTGCCTCTCTCTGGATATGAAAAATATATGAACATTTCTCTCCAGTCTTGCACTGTCTCTCCCTACATGCATAAATGCTTCCTCATTAATTATCAATTGCATAACATCACACTGTGTCCCTACCTACCTACCTTAACAACGAATGGCAAAATTAATAAAAGCATAGCAGAAATCATTAATTACCTTCAGATGACTGGAAACTATGAAGCCGCCTTTTTTGCCACCACTCATGTCATAGCGAAGCTTTTCTTCTGGGGGCAAGGCAAAGAACTCTCTGGCGAGACGAGTCATTTCAGAGATGAGTTCCGTGTCAACGCCGTGATCAACAACTTGGAAAATGCCCCATTCTTCACAAGCCTTCACAATCTGCTTACATAATGAAGCTCGACGCCCATCAACCTCATCGATGCCTGCCAGCGATATCACCGGAATTTCGTCGCTGAATTGATCGTAAGCAACTTTCGGGCGCTCTTCTTCGTCCCGAATGAAGCCAGATCTGAGAGACTTCTCGTCGGCCATCTCAGTGAGGGTAGTAATGGAAGCCATATATGAAGATGTATTGCAGAAGCTCGAAAGAACGAGTGCAATCACTACGTTTGATATGCGCGCGCGGGAGGGTGTTTTCTTATTAATTAATTGGATTTGTGAAGCTATGGACTAGCGATATTTATAGAATGGGAAAAGCGGGGGTAGAAACTTCACCTAACTCTTTTGTGTGAATTAACTAGCAGCCTCGTTCATCTCAGGTTCTTGACCTTTGAAATCGTATTCCAGCTGCTATAAATGTATGATGTATATTAATTTTGTCCCTTTGTGCCTGCAGTTCGATCTCGAGCTGATGCTATATGCGAAGATGGTCAATATTACACGTATATGATAAATGAAATTTATAAAATATTGATTTCGAAGGTGAAAGTGAAAGAGGATCCGTTTGTTCAATTGAGGCAGGGTTCGTTCATTTATTTTTACATTGTTTTTATTTAAGCATATATTGTATTTTGAGGGATTGGTTTCTTAAAAAAGGTCAATTACATGAATATTATAGTGATTTATAATTTCCTTATTAAAAAGTATTTCTCGCTTACAAACTTACAGATGAAGAAGAAAATAAAAACTTCCCCAGCAAGCCAAGAAGAAGAAAATTAGTCAAAATCATCATATAAAGGAGAGAAAAGGGACAGACGTCAGATAAAATGTATTGATAAACGAGAAAGTCAAGAAAATTATTTTAAAATATTATTAAAAAAACAAGAACTTTGTCAAGAAAATCTTTATTTTCGGATAGAACTCTTTTCAAGATTTTGGAAAATATTTTTTTTCTCGTATATAATATTAATTCATACCTAATTTTTAAATTTATTGTTAAGTTATTTAAAAAAATAATATTTTATTTCTTATACATCAATCATATAGGGAGAATGGCATTGAGGGCTTTAAAAATAGAATTTATTTCACTTAGGACCTAAATGAATCTGAAATTGCTCTGCAGGCTTTAAGGCCTAAAGTGCAATTTTTTTCAAAGTGAAAATATTTTTTTTGCCTCTTATCTGATTTGAATCAAAAAATATGTGCGAATCCCTGTTCTCATTGCTCCCTATTTTCCTATTTTCCTTCGTTCTCTTTGCTCTAGCAGAAGAAAAACTGACGGCAGTTCTCTGTTCTCATTTCCTTTCTGTTCTCAATCACCACCGTTCCAAATGCTTCTAATTTCCTTGTCTATTGTTTGTTTGTGGTTGCTCGAGCGATGCTCGTCATTTCGCGTGCCGTCGTGCTCTCTTCATTGTTGCTCGCTGTCAGCCTGATCCATTCGTCAGTGGTGCCGTTCATCACTAATGCTCTTGCAACTTCACCTTAAGATTCTATCGGAGTCTCGTTCTGATCATCTGAAGCTCTCATTGTGACACGGTCAAATCCAGTCTCCTACTGTTGATGTGCATCTGAACCCTCTGGCGTCTGTGGCTTTGGTAATTTCTTATATTGTTTGCCTGAAACTTGTAATTTATTCGCTCCACATATGGTAGTTTGGTAGTTTTCACTTTGCCTTTCCATGGTTTGTTCCATTAGCAGATTGCCTTCCCTCCATCTAAAGTAAATAATGTGTTTGGCTAAATGAAATAACTCCTCCATATAACAGTTTTAAAGATTGCTTCATTCCCATAATTATCTGTATGAAATGCTGCAAGAGAATGGTGTCGGCTCTAATCCTTTTTATGTTGAACAATCTGATGCATTGCTAGTAAAAGAAAGTGGATAGAATAAGTGGCTAGGGGGGATATGGGTTTGAGGTGTCCTTTTTTGTTTGATAGGGGGCTTTAAATTTGGAAGGAATAAGAGAATGTGTGAGTTATGTGTGAAGCGTATGTGAAATAGGTACCATATTATTTTAAAGCTATGGAATCATTTGATGGAAGAATTAGAGTATCTACATGCCTATACAAGCTTATTTTGATAGTTCCTATCATAGATCTCATAAAGTGTCGCACATTTCAATATAGTTTAAGCACCATATATGATTGCCCATAGAATGTACGTAAGAGCACAAGACAAACTATATTGAGAAAATACATACACCAAAGCTCCTCCCACACTACCTAATCTTGTAACACTTCCCTTTCCAAATGAGTTATTTATATCATTCATTACTACTTCCAATGCTTTTTGCTAAAAGACAAATTTTATTGTCAAAATTTACATACCTTTGTATAGGCTTAATCACTCAAGAATGCAACAAAACTTTCATATCTCTGCATATTGTAATGTATTTGTAATAACCCCCCATTTACACAATGGTTATTATACAAGCCTAGAAAATTCAACCATTCCCTCCATGGTAGAACAAAATAAGCTTGACTTCTCGTTTAGGGTATCTAGGAACAAAAAGCCATAAGTTGTTTAAACATTGCTGCCTTTATAAATTACAAATAGAAGTGAAACAACCCTTCACCTAAATGCAATGTTACAAGTGATAAAATGATCAGTGAATGAGGACTGAATTTGTCTTTATATTTTTAGTTGTGCATCTATAGACATGGTCTTGTGTATAGTAGGTGTTCTATCATGCATGGTTTACGTAGCCATTTCAGCCAATATGGTAACTGAATTACTCAACATTTATGGATTTTTAGTTATGCATGCAAGGACATAGTCATGTGCATAGTAGGTGTTCTATTGTGCATGGTCTGCATAGCCATTTCAGCCAATATGGTAAGCGAATTACTCAACATTCATGGATTTTTAGTTGTGCATGCATGGACATGGTCTTGTGCATAGTGGGCCTTTTATCGTGTATGGTCTGCATAACCTGTCATTTTCTTCAAGGTTGTGAATTACTAGAAAATCATGGATTTTTAGTTGTGCATGCATGGATATGGTCTTGTGCATAATGGGTCTTCTATCGTGTATGGTCTGCATAACTTGTCATTTTCTCCAAGTTAGTGAATTTCTGAAAAATCATGGATTTTTAGTTGTGCATGCATGGACATGGTCTTGTACATAGTGGGTCTTTTGCCGTGCATAGTCTGCATAACCTGTCATTTTCTCCAAGCTAGTGAATTTATGGAAAATCATGGATTTTTAGTTGTGCATGCATGGACATGGTCTTGTGCATAGTGAGTCTTCTGCCGTGCATGATCTGCATAACCTATCATTTTCTCCATGCTAGTGAATTTATAAAAAATCATGGATTTTGAGTTGTGCATCCATGGACATAGTCTTGTGCATAGTAGGTGTTCTGTCGTGTATGGTCTGCATAGCCATTTCAGCCAATATGGTAATTGAATCACTCAACTTTTATGGATTTGTAGTTGTGCATGAATGAGGACTGAATCTATCTTTATATTTTTCTTGCTTCGTTTTGGTTCTGAAATTATGTCACTATTACTAAATCCACTTTCCTTGATTTGTTTTGCTATCCTTGATTATTTTCTCTTCTGCTAATTATAATTAATTTATGCAGGTGCTAAGCATAAAATGGCTTCCAACAAGCCACAAAAGGTGATATCAACTATGGGATGGTGTGATTTTAGAAGAGAATTTTTGGTGATCAATAAAGGCAAGTACAAAGAGGTAGGTGATTCAAATGAGGCCACAGTTGAGATATGGAAAGAAATGAGCATAGAGGAGAGGGAGCCGTATAGAATGAAGGTGATTGAAAATAAATAGGTGGAAACGTAGAAAAAATATGACATTCCTTTCCACACTCGATGCTCTCCAGCAAAATTTAAAGAAATTGCTGAGTTCGTAAAAGAGAATGGCCATTTAAAAGAGAAAGTTAAGGCAATTGGGTTTTCTAAGTTGTTGGATATCGAAGGCTTGAAAATCCTAAGAGAGTTGTGCCATGAGATCATGCAATCTTATGATCCCCCGACTCAGAAAATGACAATAAGGGGGGAAAACAATATTAGTGAGAGTAAAGTTGAATGTTAACAAGGAGTTGGTAGCAAAATTGAAGAGTGATTATACATCAATGTCATTAAATGACTTGAAGAACAAGATCACTTCAAGCGATGAGAATGACAAGTTCAAGTTCCATTTTTTATTGTTGACACTTGGAACTCTTTTGTGTCCTGGTAGAAGTCCCCAAGTTACTGATAAGGCGTTGAAGGTGTTGGCATGTATGAATGATGCATGGTCTGATTTTGATTAGGATACTTTTGTGTTGGAGGAGTTAAATCGGGAGATTCAGCTCTATAAGGAGCATATCAAAAAGGGAAAGTCAAAGGGAACTAAATATATTAGAGGATACCTCTACTTCTTATTAGTAAGCTAAGTTGTTTTTGCTATTCTCATGAACCTTAGTTGTTACAGCTATCCTTACATTAAATTGATGTTTCAGATTCTCTATCTCCAAAATTTTCCTCTAAACAAAGCTTCACCTCCAGCTAGTGAAGCAATAGGGTATTGGATTAAAGAAAGGGTTAATGAAATGGTGAAGGTTAAGTGACAGAGCTGCCATGGCCTGTTGTACACTAAACCACCAGCCCACCGTGATGCCAACCTTAGTGCCTCGACGTAACTACCTCCAGTTACTGCCTTCCATGATAAGGTGTGTATACTTTTAACCCAATAGTATTTTTGGATCCCTTAGTTATGAGTAAGTAAACCCTAAGTTCAGAATAAGTGAACCTTTTGATGTGCAGGACACAAAGGATATGTACGTAAGAGTGAATGCTTACATGGAGAAGGTATGTTTTACCAATGTTAAGTTGTGAACATTTTGTTGTGAAACAAGAACATATTATTGTGAATAAGTTCATATTTCATGTTTTATAGGAAATGAAGGAAGTACAAGAGAGAGTCTTGTCTTACATGGCTAATGAGCTGCTAAAGTTGCAAGCAAAGAGGGTTGTCATAGAAGAAGAAGAGGAATAGGATGAAGATAAGGGAAGTAAGAATGATAAGGACGACGAGGGGGTAAGGAGAGGGAACATGATAAGGATGAGGATGATGCAAACATAAAGACAGAAGAACAAGCAGTGGTAGAGGATTTAAAAAACATAAAAGTTGAAAAACAAGAAGGTAGGGAGATAAAGAGAAAGATAGAGATCAAGTGGTAGAAGAAGCAGAGAAATCAGACATGGATTCATTTGAACACAAAGTGGCTGTCGAAGAGAAAGGGAAACTTTTGGTGAGAAGATCTAAGAGCAAGAAGAAGGTTATTGTTAAATCTCCGTGGACGCCACTTATTACCCAGAAGAAGAGAAAAGTTAGTGACAAGCAACGGCTATACGGATTGTGCACAGATTAGTGTACAACAGAGGATGGTGGAGAGTAAGTGAAAAATTACTGTCATAAGAAATTGAAAAAAAATGTTCTTTATTACAAAGCATCGTAACTATTTGTTTTGGTTGGATGCTGCAGGATATTTGTCTAAATGTATGATTCTATGTTACATGGAGTGAGCTATATTCTCTTGGACTAGCACAATGGATAAGCGATCGGGTAAAAAAATTTTAAACCTGTATTTAATAATGGAAGTTTATATATGTATAACTGTATGTTCGTAAATGAACAACTAAATGTCCATATATGTCCATGTAAGTAATTACTATGGTCAGCAGGACTCTTATAGGTGATCAGAAGGAGCAGTCATCTCATGTCACGTGTCATATTTTTGATGCTAAATTCATGGCTAGGATGATAAAGAATTTATCACAATGGAATATAGATGAGAATGCAAAGCATATTATCCCCGAGCATTTGGGATATAACTTACGCAATTGTGATTTCATATTTGGGCCTACAGTTTTTGGAAACCATTGGTTTTGCTTTGTCCTGGAGCCAAGGACAATGAAATTTTATATTCTTTATTCTATGGTTGATCATGAGCAATTAGAGGTTGAGGAGGAAGATATGAGAAAAGCAAGAAGAAAAGGGAAAGGGAAGTTGGCAAAAAATGCCTGAAAGATCCAATGTATAAGGGCCAAATAATGATAGGTGCAAATATTATATGCTTTAAATTATGAACATTTATTTTTGAATTTGTCACCCTTTTAGTGTTTGTTGGCTAACCATTTACCTTTACAGATGGAGCATTTCAGATCAATTTTGCTCATAGTGAAGCCAGAATTATCTCAGGTCAAGTACAGTAATGACATACTCTATCCACGGTTCTTCAAGCAAGAGAATAAGTAAGTTATGCTGGTATAACCTTATAATATTTTTCACTATTTCCTTCATTCATATCTCACTCTATTGCCTTTGTTGTGCAGTGATGATTGTGGAATTCATCTCATTACGTGTCTCAAATTCTAGAACAATACTATCAATATTGATCATCCTCCGTTTACCATGCCTAAATACACAACACAAGAACTATCGGCCATGAGGTGTGACATATTATGCTGGCTGGTGGAGCATCCCAATAATGTTATCCGTGAACGTCTACCTTCACTTGTAGAAATAGGCACATGAAAAGACAAATGTTGGATTGTAGAATTAGGTTCTTTGACAAGGATTGTATACATATTCGAAGATTTTTTTGTAATTTGGAAATAGTTTTTGTTTGTAATTGGAATTCTGTATATATTTGCACGAAAAGAAAATGAAAGCAACAGTCTCAACCTTTCCATTATGTACAGGACAACATCCCCTATGCACAAGACGATGTTCATGCATGCACAACTAAAAATCCATGATTTTGAGTAATTTAGTTACCTTATTTGGCTGAAATGGCTACGCAAGCCATACACGACAAAACACCCACTGTGCACAAGACAATGTCCATGCATGCACAACTAAAAATCCATGAATGTTAAATAATTTAGTTACCATATTGGCTGAAATGGCTATGCAAACCATGTATGATAAAACACCCACTATGCATAAGACCATGTCAATGCATGCACAATTAAAAATCTATGATTTTTCAGTAATTTACTACCAGCCGAAAGAAAATGACAGGTTATGTAAACCATGCATGACAGAAGACCCACTATGCATAAGACCATGTCCATGTATGCATAACTAAAAATCCATTACTTTTCAGCAATTCACTACCCTGGAGAAAATGACAGGTTATGCAGACCATGCACGGCAGAACACCCACTATGCATAAGACCATGTCTATGCATGCACAACTAAAAATCCATGATTTTTCAGTAATTTACTACCCTGGAGAAAATGACAAGTTATGCAGACCATGCATGGCAAAACACATACTATGCACAACCCCATGCCCATGCATGCATAACTAAAAATTCATGATTTTCTAGTAATTCACTACACTGGAGAAAATGCCAGGTTATGCAGACCATGCACCGTAAAACATCGATTATGCACAACACCATGTCCATGCATGCACAACTAAAAATCTATAAATTTCCAGTAATTCACTACCCTAGAGACAGGTTATGCAGAACCATGCATGGCAGAACAGCCACTATGAACTATACGATGGCCATGTATGCACAATGAAAATTCCATGCATTTTGAGAAATTCTGTTGCTGAAATGGCTACACAAACCATACACGAAAGACTACCCCGTATACACAAAACACTGTCTATGGATGGACAATGAAATTTCCATGCACTTTCAATATTAATAAGGATAATTACATTAGATAAGAATTTCATGTTGGTACTTGCCATATGAAATTTGACATCATATTTCAAATTTGACATACATAAAAAGTTACCCACTATATGCAAAACATCTAAAAATTGCTTCTCTATATACAAAAAAAAAATATATGTCATTCCCAGTTACCTAAAAAAATATTAATTGGAATTGCTTTCATATATATAATTATAGCTACCTATACACACTAAAGAAGTATAATGTAACTACTTGTCATGATGGGTTAGGATTCTTGCATGTCTTGCAACTGTGTCCGGCCTCCCCACATCTTGAACAATGATAAATCTTTTTATCTTGGAATTGAGACTCTATCCTCCTTGTTCTTGGCCTCCTAAGAGGATGGCTAGTTAAAGGCGGTTGTAAGAAAGTTTGTGATAAGTTATCTGTTAATGTTGCTGTATCAAGCTTTAGAATGTCAAAAGTCTCAATCAAAATCATATTACTACCATAGATTTTTTCTTGACAACTTAAGTGATACCATTCCTTAACATATTGATATATATTGCCATGTAAAAGCTTTATGGCAGCACATGCATAAGGACATAGTAGTCCATACATCTGCCATGCCAGGCAAGGGCATTCACATAATTCAAAATTTACTTGCACATCTCCATTTAATGTTTTCACCCTAACAGTATTCAGTGCATAAAAATCAGCTTGTAATGTATCATGTTTTAACACATTTTCCTTTAGCTTTGTCGCTATATTTAGTCCAATACCATTTGTCTATTTTTCCAATGCCACTTTGCTGTTGTGTAGCTTCTTCGCTAATTTCTCCATATGCTCGTACATAAAAACAATAATATTATATTTCCTTTTCTTGACAACCCAAGAATTAAAGGACTCAACAATGTTGGTCATTATGTTATCCCACCTCCTATGGGGAAACTTGCTAAGTGCCCATCTATCTACGTCACCGTGTGTTTCAAGCCATTGCAATAAATCTGGACAAAAATTCATCATATTTGACATTGCAACATTAAACTCACTAGGGAGTCTTGCATAAGCTATTGCATCCAGGAGCTTGAATGCTACATCCTTTGTCACTCCATTCTTTCTCTTACCTCATGTGACTTTTAAAAACTCTAACCTAAAGTTTTCTTTCACATGATGGTAACAGAAAGCATGCCTGTCACAACTATATATTGCTTGTACAGCCTTAATGATTGAATTATGTCTATCAAACACTAGTACTATCTCTCGCGATTCTATTATGTTCTTAATATTTTAAAGAAACCATGACACTCCTCAATTGTCTCACCACCTACTATAGCATATGCCACAGGAAACATCTTATTATTTGCATCATATGCACATGCTGATAGTAGAGTTCCCTTATATAGTCCACTCAAGGAAGACCGATCTATATATAGTATGGGTCGACTACCTTCCACAAAACCTTTTATGCTACATCTATATACAACAAACAAACATTAAAATCTATTGCATAGCCTAGCTATCTATTTTGCAACTGTGGTCGGATCACTTTCAATTAGCCTTTAACACATCCAGGGAATTAACATATATAATTCATCCGGTTGACCATGTATTTCAGATAAAGCTTTCTCCTTGCCTCTATATGCTTGATAATAACTAAGTTTCAAACCATATTCCCTATAGATGTCTCGTCTAATATCATTAGGAGACTTGCCTATGGAAGCCCTTAGCTTATCAATTATTATGGATGACATTAGCATTAATCTACTTTTATGGGCAACATTAAGATTGTCTTGTGCAAAATGAAAATGTTGATCCTTGAAAGTTCTTGTACTTAAGAAACTATTATCTTTTCCACCTAACTTGTATGCTCCAATATACCATGGACATCCCTCAACTGCACAGTTCACAATAACTTGACTTGGTTCGTTCTTCAGAAATTTGTATCTGAACTTGTGCACTAGGCTATACTTGTATAATGCCTTCCTCAACGCCACAGCATGAGCAAAAGTTCGTCCTACTCTAATAAGAAAATCCTTCCACTTGTTAGCATTCATCTCTGGAATAGGGGTAGGAATGCATTGGATAGCTAAATTATCTTCTCCACTTTTTGTTGGAATGCCTCCTTTAAAGTTGCATAAGTTGAAGCCTTCCAAACCAATATTCCAATGCTGAAGAGCTAGCGAACTTCTATATAAAAATGGTAAAAACTGGTCTATCCTGCATTTACAAAAGTTACCACATTATTAGTGCTTTGTATTAATAACTTATATTTTAAACGACTAACTATTTAATATAAACAAGTAAATATTCATGTTTGCACATTACATATAATCTAGTGTTCCTGACAATGCATTTTTTGACCCAAATGACATGAATGTCTGTACTTACTTTTCAAGATCATCTTCAAGTGCAGCCCGTCTAGTAACATACACATGAGCAGTTCTTCCATTATATTCAAACAATTGTTCAACTCTGACATCATCAAGGAGATTTATGAATGTGCTTGAATCAATCTCAACAGTGAACTTTACGTCATTTCCATTATCACCATGGCAAACTTCAGAAGATATAAATGATCTTAGCTCTGTATATTTTACCTTTTGTTATGGTTCTTGCAATTACATTTCCACCCTCATACTTCATACCACTATCAGCACTCCTTACAAATTCACCGCCACAGTGGAAGGAACAAAATAATTTTTCTCTAGAACTACTTTCCATCTCTTATATTAACCTGCAATGAAGAAATTAATCTACGTAAATGTTCACATAATGAAGCCCAACTTTTATTTTACACAACATAAAGTTTAACATAAACAACTCAAAGTTCATTTTCACACAACAGATACTCCAACGTCTTTGACAGCAAATTTTCTTCACATTGGGAGTCATATTGTATTCAATTCATATGTCAAAATTCAATATTAACAGGTCAACCATAGATATTGTACATATATTTTCACCTAAAAGTCCATGTTATTCAAGTTTATCATTAGGCTAAGCTTCAATAGAATGCTCAAGTTAGGCAAATATGTACAACACAGAGTTCATATATTTTCAGCTGAACCAACTTAATGGTTCAACAACCTTTAGCTTATATCAGTAGCTTAGGCTTCCTCAACAAATTGCACAATTAGGCAAATTATATATAACACAATATCCACTATGTACAATATAAGGTTCATTTATTCTCAACTGAAAGTCCATGTTATTCTAATTTATCATTAGGCTAGGCTTAACAAAAGGAATACTCAAGGTAGGCAAACAAGGCATAACATAATATCCAATATGTACAACATGAAGTTCATATATTCTCACCTAAACATCATGTAATTCCAATTTATCATTAGACAACACTTAACATAATGCACATCTCAACATCCTAAAAAAAAACAACTCAAAGTTCATTTTTGCACAACAAATACTCCAACATTTTTGGCAAAAGATTTTCTTCATATTGGATCATATTTCATTTTAGTTCACGTGTAAAACTCCAATATAAATAAGTCAATATCATCATTATATAACAGCTAACCTACTCTAAAACTTTCACGACCAAAATGATTCAGCAACATTTACCTCATATTAGTAGTAGAATCACAAATAAAATTTCAATTTCAACAATATCACATTTAACTTTGTACAATAAAAAGTCCATCTCATATGCACGTTACTATCTCATGTAAAACCCCCCTCAAATGCTTCCATTAAATGAACCACTGCATATTAAATGAGTAAAGATCATCTCTGTCATCACTTCATTAGTAACTCACATGCAGTAATGGAAAACCTTAAATTATTTCTACCCTTAAATGATTTATGTAGCAACAATAGATGCCTCTCATTTTTACAGCAAGAACAGTAAAAATCTCAGCTCATTTTTGCTGTAACACTACCAAAAACCAGGAAACCTCCACCTCAGACCATGAAATCATCAAAATACTGCTTAAGATGGAGAGATTTTGAAATCTACTCACCTTGAAAGTTACTCCTCTCCATTAGAGATTAGAAACCTTCCCATTCTCCAGTTGAATACCCATCCCTGCATCTGTCATTCTTTCTCTGTGTTGGATTGTTTTTAAAACATGCATGAAATCAAAGATAAATTAAATTACACAATTTATAACATATGCATATATAGTATGGTTTTTATAAATTAAAAAATATATTTCCAAGTTCTTACAATTTCACTTAATTTTGTATTAGGTCTCTACAATTTATTTTATTTTAATTGAGCTCTCATGGTTTGTTCAATTAATTTTTTTAATCCTTGAAGGTTAATTACATAATTTTTATATCCCATAATTTATATAATTTGGTTTTCTTCTAAATATTTTTTACGCATATAGATTTTTCATAGTAAGATTAATAAACGTTTAAGCAATACATCAAGTCAAATTTTCTTTTGTAATTTTGGCTAAAGTGATAAATTAAATTTTATGTAAATTCTAACAGGATTTTTTTTGTGAAATTTAATAATTTATTATTACTCTTAATCTTCAGGGGTTAACATATATAATAAATTAAACTATAAGGGCCTGATTAAAATAAAATAAATTATATGAATATAATTTAAAATTGAGCAAAATTATAAGAACTTGCAGATTACTTTTTCCTTATAAATTTTGATATATTATATAAGGTTAATGAATATCTTAAACCCTAAACTATTATGCAAATAATATTATAGATCATGAACTCTTGAGATGTGCAAAAACTCTCCTTAACATTCTAAATTCTGAGTACCTAAAACCTTATCGTTAAGTTGAAAAAAACATCCATTACTTTTGTAGTTGTGGGTTTTAATCACATAATGATATGACACTTATCTCGACTCTTAAAAATAAAAGTCATTTTTTCCAAATTTTTACACGCTTTAGAAGTTCATGATCTAAAATGTTATTCACACAATGGTTTAGGATTTAGGATACTCATTAACCTTATCAATATGTTAATACATTGATGATTTTAATATATAATTGTTTAGACAAAAAATGAGTAGTGGATTGGGATTTTCATATACTAGGCCCAGTATGAAGAACTCCTCATTTTATCCCAACCTAATAACTATAACATCCCAAAATTTTAAAATAAGATTTATTTAGATTAACTAGTGGATTTAAATTAATTTACTGATCTTAAGGGATTAATTATAGTGAGTGAACCACCATTTAGGTACAACATGGATCTTAGAATAGGGCCTAGGAAGCTATTAGGTCATTTTAGGTCTAAATTAAGGGGCTTAAGTTAGCATTCCTATGTTGGGTCTTCCATTATAATGGATAGACCAATGTACCATAGTGGATGCAATGGAATTTTAAATCTCAAGAAACACAACGAACAAAAAGAAGGGATTGTTTGAGTGAGTATCTAAGTGAGGAGTGTAATATCACAAATTTTAATCCAAGGGTTAGAATAATTAATTAAGGGATTCAATTAATTACTCAGGTGACTAAGAGTTAATTATAGAATTGGGATGGCTATTTGGACTTATTGGACCTTATAGGAAGCTAGAAGGGTTCGCGAGGCTATTAGGCCATTTTGAGCTCAGATTTTGGGCTAAAGTGCTATTACCTATTTTTGGGGCATCCTTGACTATGATGGTGCAATTCCCAAGCGGATGTGACAAAATTTTAAATCCTAATTTTGCAATTCAAATTGACAAGAAAGGGGACAGTTTGGGTGAGATTCAGAATGAGGCAACTAAGCTCTATTAGGGTTAGCTCGTAGGGGGTTTTGGAGGTTATTTTAGGTTGTTTAACCCTTGAATAAGCATCCTATCTCATTATTTCCTCTTCCTCTTAAGGTTTCTACACTTATTTAGGTAGATGTGTGGCTTGTGTCTAAATTTATTATTAAGTTACAGCCATTCCTACAACTTAAATGAAGTCTATAGATGTTATTAAATGGTTATATCTCTAGACTTTAATTGTTGGAAGCTTTAAATGCCATTACTCTGGGGTTTAAGACCAAATATAATTCTAAGTAAGTTAAACTAAGCCAATGGAAGTAGCTAACAGTGATTATTAACCTTAATAGAAGTTAAGTAAACTAATGAAAATGAGTTTTGGAGCTAGTTATGGTTAACCATGTTTAATGAGGGTATTAAGCATTAATCATAATTAAAACTTAACTAATGATGATTAGCCATTAATATAATTTTATAGCACTTATGTTTGGACCATAATGTCTTAAAGCTCATGTTGGCGAGAAGTTTCTTTGAAAATCCAAAGTTTAACTCTTGGAGTGGTAAACTTAAGAGTTGAGGTAACATGAAAGTTTAATTATTATATGTCATAGTGTTTGTGACTGTAATTTATACTATGTTATCATTAGCTTGAAATGGGTAATATGGACTTGTTGGTTGATATGTTAACTTTAAGTTAATGTTATATGGTAAATATGACTAATAGTGACAAAAATGCTATATGGCTATATGTTTTTGTAGATGCTATGTGATAGTGAGATATGATGTAATTTATCCTTGGATTGGCTATACATTGTTATTGTGAACATGATAGATTATGATAGTTATGTGGTTGTATGAACTATGTTAACATGCAAGTTCTATTGATTATGAACATGTTGAGTTATTAAGATATGCATGAGCTTGTATTTGTATATGTTGACTAAACTTGCATGATCGCAATAGGTGGGAATTCACAATAGGTATTGTCTTCATTGAGTTTTCACACAATAGTTAGCATATTTCACTACTATAAGTGCTTAGTATTGCCAACAATATATAGGTATAACATAGGTTGGGCATGATGCTTATTATCATCGATCCTAGACTGAAGAGTATAGGTTGAGTACTTATGACAACCTAAAATTTGAGTGAGTGAAACCCATGGTCTAAGAGTGAGTATGGAAGCCTTTGGCTGGGTGACCCTTCACAATTGAAGATAAGGGCTAATCTAGTCACATAAACTAGACCTATATGAGTTGTTAACCCATATGTTCAATCAAAAGATATAATAAGAGATATAAAGTCATTGTATTGACCATGCTATCTTGTTTCATAATGTGGTTAATGTGTGGTTGACATATGTGATATAAACTACCTATTTGTTGGTATATGGCACACTTTAATATGCTTTAATTAAGTTTCTTGGTTACAAACATTGTTTAATCTTACTCTTATTTGTTAGTATCTTTCTATGAGATGATAAGGCTAAGGGAAAAGGGGAAGCATTGACATTGATAAACTAGAGATTATCTTATAAAGTCTCTAGTTTACTTAGGTGTAAATGACATTATTTTTCCAATACTAGGGATAGACATATATTTGTATATGTTGAATTATAGATCATTTGCATGTGAACCCTGTTTGTTAGACCTAAGCATCTTTGTTTATTGGCCTTGAGTTTTGTGGGAAGGCTGACCATGCAAATGCATGATTGTTATGACTAGTGTTTATTCTTGTTAGTTTATAACAAATCAATAGATATGAGTGTCATGCACAATTGGGTAGTTATTGATTTTTTTAGCAAGATTTCTTGAGAAGGGAGACACTTGTTCAAGTGTAAGGGACATAAGTGCTCACTTTAGAACTTAGTGATTTAGGATCCTTATTTGGTATTGGATTAAGTTATAAATAGTACTATTAGTTAGATAGTTAAATTATCTGTGTATGAGCATTTATATCACCTTAATTGAATGCCCAAGTATTTAATTAAGTGTTTTTAAAGTTAAATTCTTGCATACTATACTTTTGTGTG